AGTTTTCCACCAGAAATTTTCTGTTCATTTCATTAATCAGAGAGATGTAAATTTTGCACCAGAAATTTTCAATAAAGCATACTCCTCCATTCACCAGAACGGTGCACCAAAAATTGTCAGTGAAGTTTGTTTCACCATGCACCTTCAGGCTTTGCCTCTTCATGCACCAGAATGGTGCAAATTTTCCACCATACAGTTTCAATTAAGCTTGCATTCATCAAAACGACGCAAATTATGCACCAGAAAAATTAATAAATCTTGCTATTACATTCACCTCAGTGTTGTGAACTTTCCACCAGAAATTTTCAGATAAATGTGCACCTCCAAATTTTTTTGCGCGACTCAATTTAAGAACCAGAGTTATTTATTTTGATTAGTCCCTCCATGGACCACCTTGATGATATTTTTACACAAGAAATATTCAATTAAAATCTTTTGCTTCGAATTAACTCCTTGAAAAAAAAATTACACCAGGAATGTGGTGCAATTTTTTGACCAAAAAATTTCATTGAAGTTTAACACTTCATGCACCGTTGTGGTGCAATTTTCAGGCAATATATTTATTTATAAAAGGTGGGGCAATTGCCCCACCTTGCCCCACCCTGTGCACGCCAATGCTGAAGGATAGCAACGTGGACTTCTTCACGCATGATCTGCTATCGAGCAAGCCGCTGAAGGTGGTTTTGCGTAGATTACCGTCTTTCGAGGCGACTGCGGTGAAATCCGAGCTGGAGCGGTTTGGGCTCAAGCCTGAGGCAGTGTACCTGATGAACCGGCGTTCCAACCACAACACCAGCTTCCGTGATCAGTTGTTCCAGTCTTGCGGCTCTGAGATCCAAAATCCGGGACCTGTTTCAGGTCATCATCAGTTGGGAGCATTACAAACCCCAACATCGTGATTTAACGCAGTGTATGAACTGCCTCTCATATGGCCATGGCACCAAAAACTGCCACATGAAGACAAACTGCGGCAAGTGTGCTGGAACTCACTCAACTGCGTCATGTGAGCAAGATGATGACATCGAGCCAACGTGTGTCAACTGCGGTGGAAACCACCAAGCCTCCATTCGCGGATGTCTAAAGCGAGTGGAGTTTATGAATATCCGTTGGAAGACTACAATCAGCCCGGTCGCCTCCGTAATCATCGTTCGCCTCCTGTACTCACGGAAGTCCAGTAGCCAGCTCTCCAGCCCCGTCGACATGTTCCAAACCTAGCCCCGCTTTCGCTCAACAACCAACAAGCTAATCCTGCGAATATACAAATCAGTGGCGTCTCGCAATCTCACTTTTTACCTGTGCACCAACTTTAAAAACCAGATTGAATGCCATATTCATACTAGAATCGGTTGAAAAATACACTTAGTCTTCTAGTTTACTCGATATCTATCCATTGCAAGTAATATTTTGATAGTTGTTTATGTTTTGAGAGTTGGTGCACTGGTCGATTGAGGTTAAGGAAACGCCACTGATACAAATGGTTCCCAACAGTCGGACACAGTTCAGCATCGTCTCGCTGCTGCTGCGGCCCAGCCAATTCCAGGCTCATCCACCGTCCCTGGTGCATCATACGCTGGTGCTGTCTTAGATGAGCCTGTCGACGATTCTCCGTTCACCTCGGAGGAACTTGTGACGCTCGTGGCCAACGTCATCATCATCATGCGCACCTGCAAGACTCGATCTGAATAGCTACATGCTGACCTGTCCCTTGTCACTAAGTATGGACCGTTAAGCCATCAAGATCGTAAATTGGAATGCTTGCTCCTTGAAGAGCAAAAACATCGAGCTTGTTGACTTTCTCAACGAACGGCACATCTTCTTCTTCTTCTTCTTCGTTCTTTTATTTAACGTCGGTCTCTGTTCCGCAATCTAGTGCCAATCACCGACGGACATCGATTGCCATCCATTGACGGCCATCGAATGTGCAGGAAGGCAGCTTCCACACCTGCGTAGGATATCGCACCCATTCAACACACATGTGCCGGGACCAACGGCTTTACTTCCCTTCCGAAGGAAAACGTGACCAGAGATTTGTATGCCTCAGAAAAATCCCACCGACCTCGGGTGGGATTGAACCCAGACGCATTGGGGTGTTAGAAAGCAGTCACGCTTACCACTACACCACCGGCGCCGGCCCGAACGGCACATCGACATAGCCGTCATCACCGAGACTCACTTGAAGCTGAACGTCTTCCTTCCCGACTATCGACTCGTAAGGCTTGACCGCACCAGGTCCGGGGGAGGGGAGTATCGAAGCCATCGGAGTTGAGGTGAGCACATCGCTTGGTCCAATCACCATCATCGCGGTCTACCAACATTAGGGACGGCTCGACCGCAGACCTCCGAAGAGACATCATCAAACTAACACGAAGGCGGTAAAATTTCGTCATCGCTGGCGACCTGAACGCCAAGTATCAAGCCTGGGGCAATAGTCGGCGAAACCAGAACGGCACAATCTTGTAAAACGATCTGCAGGAAGCCGACTACAACATCCTGTGTCCGGACATTCCCACCCGGTTGAGTCGATCCGGAGCTCATGCCACCATCGACGTCTTCATCAGCAACATTGGCAATAACATCTCTCAACCTATCGCCTATCAGGAACTGAGCTTGGACCACTATCCGGTGGTGGCCGAAGTAAGTTCCTCGGCCAATAGGTTTCAAGTTTCCCAGCGCTGCGTGGACACAGCAATCGATCACGACGTCCTACCGGAGTCGTTCGAAGAATTCGATCAGTGTCTGCAAACCATCGAAGAGGCGATATCCCGTGCCAGGGAACAACACGCACCAGCATCCAGACAGATGAGTCATACTCTGAACCTTGACAGCCCAACCAAAGATCTTATCAGGCTCCGTAGTAACACCATTCGTAGGCTGCCCCACTTGAGGACCAATGTCAATAGGCTAACCAAAATTATCCAGGCCAGGATGGTGGAAATCAGAAATAACGATTTTCCCAACAAGATTCGCTCTCTCCCAGATTTTGCAAAACCATTTTGGAAGATGACCAAATAACCAAATTGTCATTAGCCAAATACATCCGTAGACCATAGGTCCACCGTTGTATAATTGGCAATGCACCCGTGTACTGAATGGGAATTGTGGGTTCGAATCCCACCGGTGCCCTTAGATTTTTTCGCAAATTTTCTCACACGCACGTCTCTTGCCGATGATATGTGCTAACCTCTCAGTATCTTCTAACTGTCGCATATAACAAAATAAAAATTGACTTTCAGCCGCTAACCTAAATCGATGACCAAAATTTTGAAAAATAAGTCGAGACCGATCCCTCCGCTTTCCTCTGTTGACCAAAGCTCGGACCCATCCCTACTCATAACCTCAGTTGAAAAGGCCAATGCACTTGGCCAACATTTTGTGATTTCACATAATCTTGGCCAAACCATGGTGAGCCCCCATGAGCCTGCCGTACTGGAGGCAATGTCTAGAGTCGCTGACACCCCCGTAGTAGTGCATGATGATAGTAGAATATCAGCTGATGAGGTGATAGCAGCTAATGGAATCACTAAAAACATGAAGGCCACGGGTATGGATGGTGTAGTCAACTTGAGTATTGACTTCTTCAACCATCTTAGCGTTATCTTCAACAAATGTTTGGAGCTTGACTACTTCCCTGCATGCTGGAAATTAGCCAAAGTGATTCCAATACGCAAGCCTGGCAAAGATCCTACCAGTGCCAAAAGCTATCGCCCCATCAGCCTCTTGTCCTCCATCTCGAAGCTATTCGAAAAATTGATACTCAGCCGTATGCTGGTGTTTCCAAATGATAATAACATATTAGGAAAGGCCACTCTACCATCCACCAACTCGCACGGGCTACTAACATCATCAAGCGGAACAAGTCCGTTTCCAATACATCTGCCATGGCATTGTTGGACGTCGAGAAGGCGTTCGACAACGTCTGGCATGATGGCCTAGTGTACAAGCTGCATCGATACAACTTTCCGATCTACCTCGTGAAGATCATCAAAAACTATTTGTCGGGCAGATCATTCTAGGTCTACTTGAACAATGTACCCTCTGATACGTTCAACGTTGATGCAGGGGTCCCTCAGGGTAGCCTACTTGGGCCTATCCTATTCAACATTTTCACCCTGTCAATGTTCGCAGATAACAACTCCATCATTTATAAGGGTCGAGTGATCCGTGATCTGGCGAGTAAACTACAATCAGGCCTGGATGTTCTGTCCGACTATTTCAAGAGCTGAAAGATTTGTATCAATGCAGCTAAAACACAAACCATTCTGTTTCCACATTCGAATTCACCTCGGCTTGTTCCGCCTGCTGACGTCAAGATCCATCTTGATAGCACTGGTCGAGTGAAGTAGTCTACCTTGATCTCACCCTCGATAGCAAATTGCTATTCCGATCCCATGTGGACAAGACATCCACCAAGTGTAACATCTTGATTAGGTCGCTCTACCCTCTGATAAACAGGAAGACCAACCTGTCCCTCAAAAACAAGCTTGCTGTCCACAAGCAGATCATTCTGCCGGCTATTGAGTATGGTATGCCAATCTGAGAGAGTTGTGCTAAATGCCACCACCTAAAGCTTCAGAGGATCCAAAACAAGATCCTCCAGAATGATCCTTAACAGTCCACCGCGAACTCGTAATTCTGAGATTCACCACCTGGCCGGTCTTCAAACACTCGAGGAGCGAAAGACGTCCACGCTGGAAAGGTTCATAGTCGCCTGTCTGCGATCAAACCACCAGATCATTCGTGATTTGGCAACCTAGTTCAAGTAGTTAGGTAGGTTCATGTGCTCAGTAGGTAGGTTATCACATTTTTAAATTCAAACGAAAACAAGCCCTTTAAAGGGTATCCTGTACATTAGCGCTAAACGCAATCATCACATTAGAATAATTAATTAACTAGAACAAAGATGAAGAGCCAAAGGCTAACCAATTGAAATGTAAAACCAAATGTTGAAACTTAAAAAAAAACAGCCTATTTCTGCGAATTTAAATCATGAAGCTACATACCCAGCGGTGGTGGCGGCAACCGCTCCTTGCCATCGGACCGCTTCAGCGAATCATCTGACGTCAGCAGCAAAAGCTTCTTCCGCTGCCTATTTCTCTCCTCTCGCAATTTATTCAACTCGTTGACACACTTCTGGCGCTCCTTCAAGCGCAGCAACGTTCCCGGTCGGTTCCGGCGGAACTGTTCCTTCAATGGCAGTAAATCGGTCGCATCCGTCGCACTCGAACTCGAAGCCGAACTAGTCGACCGATGGTACACTTGCTCCTTTTCGGTTGGTTGCTGGCGACCATCGCCACCTTGAAACGTGATTACGTATGCGATCGAGTTCGGTTTGGTTTGCTGTTGCTTGTCCTGCTTCGGTTGGGTGCCGTCGATGATTCCCGTGTGTTGAACAACGGATTCGGTTGATGTTGGAAGCCGATGACGACAGGGACAGTTGCAGGCGCAGTTGCATCCCCCTGCCTGACTGGGGACCTGTACGGAGGTGGAAATTTTCGATTTGGATTCGAAGATCGGCTTTGTCTTCATGATCGAGCCGGTGTTGGTTTGGGTGGCAGCCGGTCGTGCATTCAGTGCGAGACTCTCCGAACTGGCACGGCACGATTTGATGTCGTACTGATGGGTGGTAGTGTTGGTTAGGGTATTGGCCGCCGGAATCGACATGGAATCAGACGAGATGAACACGTCGCTGCGGGGAAGATTCGTTTTCGGTTTGGAAATGTTTCGAATGCTATATTTATCGTCCGGGTGGGAGTACTGATCCTGTTTGCTTTGACGTCCACTGTATGGCTTAGTGTAGATGTGATGCTGCTCTTCGAACATTTGCCTTCGATGGCGTTCGTAGTTTTCAATGAATTTGTCCTTGCGAGTTTTGATAAAGGTAGCAATGCTCTCGTCGGACGTTGGTGTTTCCAGCTTGGAACGGTTCTGGATCATCTTTTTCATGTGGTAGTGAGAATTCCAGGCGGAATCCGAACGAGTGCCGGAAGTGAATTCGGTGCCATTGTTGGACTGTGCGCTCGGGGTTTCTTCGTGGACGGATGTGTAGACCGGGACACTGACAGCGCTCTTCGGACGCCGTTCGGTGTTTTCGTAGAGGTTTTCTTTTTCATCGGAAGCTTTGGTCGGTGGAGGTCTGGATTTCTGCTCCAGAGGGTAGGTTGTGCGGGTGTCAACTCCGATCTCGTTAACCGTTTTTTGCTCTTCCAAAAGCAAAAGTTTCATCGTTTTCAGATGCTCAATCTTTTTGTCGATTTTCAGCAGCTGAGATTGCTTTTCTTTGCGGAACAGTTCGAATATTTTGTCCCCAGTGGAGGGAGCACTAGCCGTATCACGACCCACCATTTTCTTGCGTTCTTTGGCTCTTTGGAGACTTCGTTTCAGCTCCTGCTGGTTAGCGTAATCCACTTCTGAGTGGGTAATCGGTTTCAGGTATTCTTTCATGGCATGGCGGATGCGATCATCGCTGGTCAGACCACTGGTAGAAGGAGATGATTTGTCCGTTGAGATCGGAGTCGGTTGGGAGATCTGTCGGGCTGTGTGGTTGGAGGAATCCGGATGGGAAGAAATCGTTCTTTGAGAAGATGTCACTGATCGTCGGACAGGATTACGAGCATCGTTGCTTTTCATGCTTGATTCTTGGAGATTCTGAATAATGGGGTCTGGACAATATAATTAATAATTATAAATTCAGTTTAAAATTACAAATTTCACACAATTACCTTCAGAACTGGAAGCCGTTTTCTCCGTGCCATCTCTACCGTCCACAATCTCAACGATGACTTCATCTACCCCTCGGCTACTTCTACCCGCGGAGGAACTCTTCCCACTTTCTACCATCATTTCAAATCCACTCATTCCCGTGTCCGCTTCGCTGCTCTTCTCATCCCCACCAGCTCTCAACTGCTGCCGCTGCTGCTTCACTAGCATGCAATCACTCAACAGCTGTTCCCTCGTCCTTCCCTTCGGATCGTTCTTTTGCATTTTACGGAAAATTTTATCGATCAAACTTTGCTTAACCCGAGCAGGCAAACTTCGCGACTCGCAAATCGTATTGTACAGAGTTATGCCCAGTCGCAGTTCATCCTCGAAGTTGTACTTCCCACGGCTTCTGCCACTACCACTACCCGACGAGGACAACTGTTGCAGCTGGGATGATGAATTATCCGAGGAACTTTTCAAACTATTTCCTGTAGATGATGGAACAACTCCGGCCTCTTTGCGACTTGACTCCTCACCCTCAACATGCTCACTCGGAGGCGAGGAAAAGAATTCAAAACTTTCCGCTACTTCACCCTGTTCGCAGACGGAAGTCGTTTTGTTCGTAGTAGAGGAAAGCGTTTCCGTTCCAATTTGCTTGTCCGAGGTGTCAACAACTTGCTCGGCCTGGATCCCCTTTGTCATGATTTTTACCAAGCTGGTTTGTGTCGATTTAATCGATTTCTGCGGGATGTTTTGAAGGGAAACGACTTTTGGAGTACTCTGAGCATCCGGGTTCATTAAATCTAAAGATATCTCCGAAGGATTGGGATACTTCTCCTTGTACTTTTGGTAAACGTCTTGCCATTTATGTTTGATGTTTACCTTGCTCTTTTCCACGGAATCCTCCGGTTGCTTCTTGTCCTTCTTCGGAGTGTGAACGTTCTTCACAACCACAACCTTCTCGTCGAAACTCAATCCTTTCTTGGTGAAGTACTTTTGCAGGCAACGCATCTCGGTTTCATTCAAATCAGCAGCGCCACAAAAGTAGAACTTATCACTAGAATTGTATCCAATATCTCCAAGTGAATCCCATTCCAGCTTCTGCCTGTTGGATGCCACGCTACTCACCGGAGAAACATCCCGCGTGGTATCGATAGTGTCTTCCGGATTCAAAGTAGCCTTCGTCAGTTTCAAAATGGGTCGAATCGGTTCCTCCGTCTGCTGTTCCACTGACCTAGCTTCGGGCATCGTTTGCGTGCCAGCTGTGCTAATTTCGTGAATAATCGGACCTTGTGCTACAATGTTACAATAAATGTATAATCAACCCTATCGAACCACCCAAAAACTTCCAACTCACCCAATATGCCCTGCTGCGGTGGTGAAAACACAATCGGCTGCTGCTGGACCGCCGTCACCGCAGGGAGTTTAATCTCGATAACCGATTCTAGATTGAAGTTGAAATTCCGTCCCGATTTTTTCTCGCTCTTCGTCTCCTTCACAACCACCTCCTTCTCCACTTCCACCTTCTGTTTCTCTTCCCGTTTTCCCTCAGTTCCTCCGGATGCACTCAACAGTTCCGCTGATTTTCTACCGCGTTCCTCCTCCTGTTCCTGCTTCTTCAGTGTGGACAAATTCTCCATCGACCGACCAATTTTCCCTCCAAGCCGATCCACCTCCTCCGCTGCCATCGTTGCCGTCGGAATGCTTCCATCGCTCGACGAACGGGTCGTATTCGCTGCTCGTAATCGCAGGAACTTTTCCAAATCTCGATTCTGTCCAAACCTCAAGTAGTACTCCATGATCTGATCGGTGACACGGGAGTTCCCGCTGAAGTTTGCCATTGTTCTATTCGAATAACACTTTTAAATTGCGGTTTTGCACTGTTTTTAAACGGTTTCCTAGCACCACAAACTCGAGCTCTATACAGCGCCCCACGCAAGGAGCAAAATTCCGTTAGAAAATGTGACAGTTGCATCGGGCGGTTGTAAACAAGAAGCAAACAAACGAATGCACTGGATCTGTTTACTTCAAAGACTCGAACAACATATGAAAAAGACCTATGTCCCAAATGTAAACAGTTACTTTAGCCGTCAATTACACCCACGCAATCAAACTACAAAATCTAATAGATCAAATATCATATCCCATGCTGCTGTTGGCTCGCCTGAGTTAATTTAATGTAAGCATTAATTCGTGTGATATCGGTTTTAAAGCCATAAATTATATTTAGCACATAGCCCTTTTCACATGAGGTTTTCTTTCGTGGCATGAAACGTAAATAAACCAAGATGCGTCTGGGTACAAGGTAGGTGGTTCGCTTAAAAGTGGTGAATACTGAGTAAAGCCAAAATTGGTGAATATTGATTTTTGGGTGGACACGAATAAAAAGGAAAGCATTTAGATCATTTCGAGGGGCATGCATAACATCTTTTCGAGTGTGTAGTAAATATTTATGTTGATAATATTAAGTTAGGGTGGTTCACAATATCAAATTGGCTCCTCTAAGGCTGTGTTCCATTTGGTGAATTTTCACATAAATTTTACAGATGGGAAATATAAAAAAAAGCTGCTATTGTACCAGACTTATTTCTGACCGATCAGGAATCAATTATGACAAACAGTTAAAGATAACAAACAGAGGAATATCCGAACGTTATAATTCATTTTCAAAGTGTCAATTTTAAGTGAAAATTCACCAAATGGAACACCGCCTAAGCTCGATCGATTCTAAGGCTGTGTTCCATTTGGTGGATTTTCACTAAAATTTGACACTTTGAAAATAAATCAATATGTTTGAAAATCCCTCTGTTGTTGATCGACCGATTTTCGAGAATTTTTCTGTCAAAATTGATTCCTGGTTTGTTAGAAATAAGTCTGCTAAAACAGCAGGTTTATTTAAAAAAATTCCATCTGTAAAATTTAATTAAAAATTCCGAGGGGGTGACTCTATATACGAAGCAGGAAAAATTTCGCTTTGCTACTGTGAGATGCGCGCACGCTTATAGTAGATAGAAAGAAGTTGGAGAGCGATGCGAGTAGATGGATTTAGATGCAAGAGATGAAAGAGTATTTTTATATTTACTATAGTATTATTCAGCTTTACTATCGGCTCCGTTCAATCAATACGAAACTAACGATTTTAAATTGGCTCACCACTTTAGTAGCCTATTGGTCCCAAGCAAACGATTAACGTACCCTATTCTAGTTGAAATTCTATTACTACACTATGTTTGTTTTGATTCGCTATGAAAGTTTGACAGATAACATCAGGGGTGTGTGGATTCATGCAGAACATGCAGGGGTGAGTGAAATAGCTTGGCACTGCTTGGGACCGTTGTTCTGGTACTGAGTGAGCCAAAAATAATAATGATTTTCTTCGGGACCCAGTGGTCTTAGAGTTACCTCTATGGTTAAATGTTCTCCGAAACGTTTTAATGACACGGGAAACAGTAGATTGTTGGATTCCCAAAATTTTCTGATGGCTCGATGCGAATTGTGTGGGTTATTGAGGTGAATGTTCAAAATTTTCTCGTGCACGCTATGTTCTTTCGACTCCATTTTCAAAACTTCTATAGAATTTCACAATGAAACTCACAATACACGCTGAGGTCAGCTGTACCAAAATTTAATTAAAATCAACCCAAAGAGAAAAATGTTACAGATTTGTTTAAAGTGATGCAATTTAAGGCACCCTTTAAAGAATTTAAAATTCAGTATTAAATTAATTATCATTCATTTGAATGATGATTATTCAATTTGTGTACCATTTTTATTGTACAATTTCATCGGTATAAATATTAAAAAAAAAAAATTCAAATCGGTTTTGTTTGGTCTAGAACCTAGAATGAAAAGAATTATCCTCACCTGAGCGTAAAATTATTGACTGCTTAGGCTGAGTGTGAAAGCACTGCACTATTCAATCCATTGCTCTGTGCAGACCGTTTGTTTGTACCAAACGGTAAAGGACGAGGCAATGAAAGAGCCAACAAAACATTCAGTCACTCACGAATAGGCGACTCACACCGCTCGCCTTCGCTCACACAGTATGTAAAATGTACGCGCAGTCATTCAAAACAAGTATACCATAACAGAAGAATAAACGTGCTGATTGAGCTTCTGACTGAGTGCTCGGCTATCAGTGACTCGTTTACCTCTCAATCATTCAGACTCTCACGAGGCAGTGAATGATGAGGCAGATGGAAGTTCATATTCATATGAAAATAACTCCTTGAACCTGACTGCTTTGCGCACTGATACCATAGAGGTAACTCTAAGACCAGAAGGTCCCGAAGAAACTTGCTCAGCTTTTTGGCTCAGTTCTGGTACTCTCTTCGGTCCCAAGCTAATCGATGCACCCCTCGAAAAATAAGAAAATCAACGAACCGCTCTTTTTATCTGTCATACTTTCATAGCGAATCAAAACAAACATATTGTATTACTAGAATTTCAACTAGAATGGAGTATGTTAATTGTTTGCTTGGGACCAATAGGCTAGTCAAGTAGTGAGCCAAATTAAAATCGTTAGTTTTCACCGGTTGCTGATACTCACATCAATGATTTTTTTATGTAACTAATAACTAAAATGTATGTCTTTAAATTTATCAAACAAATCTTAAACTATTAACCAGGGTTGCTTCTACTCACTTGCTATAAAAACATATTTTTCGGAATTATGCAATCATTAGATGATATAATGATATGTTGTACTAGTAAGTAACGCGAAGAGGGTGTGAAATACACAGCAAAAAAAAAGTAATATGCATCAACGTAATTCACATGATGTACAACAAAACGGATGTAATCAAGAAAAGTAGATGTACACTGTAACATGCAAGTACCCATTAATGGGTATAAAAGTACCCATTATAAGTAAGTATATGAAGCTGTCAAATAATGGGTAATTGAATATTTTTGAAAATGGGTTCTTTTGTACCCATCTTTTTGACCTCTTCGGGGAAGAAAAATGAGTATTATTTTACCCATTATTGGGTGAAAATTATCTTAATCAATAGTGAATATTGTCTAACACAAAGCATATTACGAGGGCTTAAAAATTGATTTTCTATGCCATCTATGCCTAGTAAAATGAGTATTGAAATGTAAGTATTTATTTGAAATATATCTAGGTGGTGTACATTATGAAATTCAGATAAAATTTAATGATTTTTATTGTTAATTTCAGATCCACAAGGAAGTGGCCGTGAACAAAGTGTTCCAGGAAAGGATGACATGGAGAAACGTCCGACAAAAGCAACACATTGCACAGCAGGGACAGTGGATGCCAAGTTATTATTATCGAAATAAATAAAAAACAAGTTATTAATGCTAATGTTTCCGCCATTTCAATGAAATATGCGAAAAATCAAATTAAAATTATTTTCTAAATAGCTCAATTATCGAAAATGTATACTTTTTACCCATTTTCTAAATCTTTTCATTTCTAAAAATGGGTAAAAAGTACCCGATGAATTGACGTACAAGCTCTTTACCCATTATTGGGTAAAGACGTTTTACCCATTTTATGAGTTTACCTAGTTTACTTCGAAATGGGTACTTTTTCACCCATTAATGGGTACTTGCCAGTCACAGTGTATAATAACATCCATTTGGATGTCATATTACATCGCTCTTTAAATTACACCGAAACAAAATTACCATTGTCCATTACGTTGCATCTGTGTCATCTGTGTAATATTCACATATTAATAACATAATTATTACACAGAATCAGATGCAACCAAGTCATTCCAAAATAGTTGTGTAATATTACACAAAATTTGTGTAATATCATATAATGTTGATGCTATATTAAATCTCGCAACACTGCCAGACTTCGTTCTGGATGATCGGGAGTGAATGTACTCCACGCATTGCCAGAGGAAGCCGCAACCTGTAAGTTGAAATAATTTTTACAAATTTTAGTTGATTTATTGACGATTTCGCTTTTATCTTTGCAGAACATCCGCGACGAGATTTTTTCAACCAGGCGGTTAACTAAGCAGAGACGCCATGCTTCCTAGGAACCCTCAATGCTGACCAATACTGTTAGTGTTTCACGCAGAGCCGAAGGAAGTCCATTCAGCTAGCTGTACCTTCTACTTGACCCGAATTCAGTAGGAATGCTGATTGTCCATGGTCCATGGCTCCTACCACCCGGTGGTCATCCCTTCAACATGGCAAAGACTAGTCGTTATGCTTTCTGGTAGCCTTTCATGCCGACCAACACTGCGCAGTACTCCACGCAGTACCAGAGGAAGCCGTAATCTGTAACTGAGTAACTGCAGTTTTTACAACTGATTAAAATTTATGTGAGAAAAAAGACAGCAAAGCAATTTAATCAGCCACGTATACGTATATACATCGTTTTTTCCTCGGTTTTTTCTTTACATCGCATCACTATTATATCGCTTCGTTTACATACATCGCGTCTGTGTGCATCACATATATAACGTCAGAAAAATTACATCGGTTTTGTGTATCACATCATTTGATTCTGTGTACATCGTACAATGTGATATTACACAACCGATGGATTGACCTGGTTGCAGCAGTTTCGATGTAATATTCAACAACTTTTTTTTGCTGTGTATGTGTTTGACTCATGAAACATGTCAATTTTGCTTTCAGAGCGTCACAATAAGCGATCTTATGATTCGTGAGCGTTCACTCAGAGTGAGCACTCACGAGTCGTAAAATCGCTGATTGTGACGCATTGAAAGCAATATTGACAGATTTTATGTGTCAAACACATACTTAACGTCCTCATCTTGTAACTTACAAGTGCTAATTATCACTATACCATCTCATGATTTAGTAATTCTGATAAACATTTTTTTTATAGAAAGTGAGTGGAAGTAACCCTGTATTAACTCGACTTTTACTTACCGACAAACCGACATGAATGACCATAGCAAA